TCTGTTACGTTGAGCACATTTTATTAATGAAATAATATACATTACAATGAAGAAATTTGACCTTTATTATATGTAAAAATTCCGATTGAAAATTTGCTTTTTTGGACTATTTGCTAAATGTTTCCATTAATACCATACCGAACCTTTCGATGCTTTTGTAATTTAGAGATTTTGATATCAAGTACAAGTCTACTTTAGTAAAGTAAAAACGGTTTTAAGAAAACGTTACTTTTTTAGTAAGGACTCTTTTCATTTGACGGTACACAACTTGGGTGGTCGGATACTTATGGTAGGTGTGTGTACAGTATATATTCATTTTGAATATAATTAAAATGTTATTAATTTTAAAAAAAATTATCAAGGGCCAAAATCAGCTCAGTAAGTTGCAAATAGTACTTGTAATTACAAGTTTAATGTATCAAAAAATAGTGAGCAAGAGAGATATAAATAAAACCATGATGACAACTGTCATTCATTTATTTTCAGCTACATTCAGGGTGACAAATATTATTTACAAGAAAAGAAATAATAAGTGCTTCATTCTAAATTTTTCTAGTTTAGTTTAAATTCCCCAAATCAATTGGGAAATGTAAATTACCAATGACGAAAAGGCAAAAGAAAATATCTATAAAAATTTGAATGTAGAAGTATTAAAGGTGATGATTAATTGAACCAAAAAATCTTAAATTCCCAAATTCCTAATTAATTTGTTTGTAAAAATGGATGCTATCTTTTAAGTCCTTGCTTATAAATAAAGCACTCAAATATTAACATGATTAGGCATCTAATGCTACATTATGTAATATTACTATTTTTTTTAAAAATTATTATTATTATTAAATATCTATAAATAAATAAATAAATAAATACTATTATTATTATTATTATTATTACTATTAAATATTAATTAAATATTAAGAAATTATTTATCCTGATTATTAATCCAATTATTATATTCATATTCATATTTTTTTTCATCATCATCCAAATAACCATCATCAACATCAGATGATATAGCAACATAATTTTCAGGTATTAAACCAACCTTACCATCAAGCTCAGCTACTAACCACCCAACACATTGTCGATAATTTATTGTTAATGTATCACCTTCTTGAAAACTCAATTCTGATGTATTCTCTGCCAGGAAATCATATAATGCACAAGCTTTCTTATTTTTATATTTGCCATCATCTTTTTTATTGGTGTGATTTTTATTATTACTACTATTATTATTATAACTATTAGCATAAATATTATTAATATTGTTATCATCATCTATAATATAATCATCATCATTATTGTCATAATCGTAATAATCATCATCACCACCATTACTATCATCATCTGATGATGCAATCAGATTTTGTCCCCAATGTCTTAGATCTTCTATTGGAAAAGCAAAATCTCTTATTTTTATTAGAATCTGAAATAAATAATTTAAATAATTCAATATTTTATATTTTATGAAAATTATTAGTGAAACTGTAAAGAGACTATTATTATTACCAAATCCTGATTTGATTCATCATTTAATTTTTGTTGATTTATGTCACTACCATCTTTTAATATGTCATCATCATTATTCTGATTCTCTTTATTCTCTTTATCATTATTTTGTAATTTTATTGATTCTGAATTGATAGATTTTAAATTTAAATTATTTAAATTTAAATTATTATTATTATTATTATTTGTTTCGATGAATGAATTCATTTTTAAATCTATAATAATTACTAAAATATTAATATAATATTAATATAATATTAATATAATATTAATATAATTATTGATATAATTTATGTAAGAATTGTAATAATATTAAGGGTGAATGAATCTACAAATATATATGTTGAAATATTAATTATTAAATAAATAAATTAGTTTAAAAAAAGTCTAATTATGAGGTTTACTACCAAATTTTACCTTCTAATAAAATTTCATTGAGAATAATTTAATTAATAAATTGAATATAATTTATAATTGTAAATTATTTTATTGCTTTTATTTAAATTTGTTGATCTTTCTAAATTAGTAACAATAAATTGCCACAAATGCCAGATTAATAATTAATATTAAATGACATACATGAAATAATTGATCCTTGCGTTTCAATAATAATAATAACAATAATATACTAATACTAATACTAATACTAACACTAAATACTAATACTAATGTTATTACTATAATTGAATTTCGATTTTCGATTTTGAATTTCAATTTTGATTCGAAATATCATGTGACCTTATAAGAAAATGAGGATACACATCTAAACTCGATAAGTCGGACATTTATTTATATTATAAAGTACTTTAAACAATTGATTGCTGCGTCCGACTTATCGAGTTTAGATGTGTATTATTTTGTCTAAGCCCTTATTATTATACTTACTTTAATGCGGAAAACACCTACTACTACTAATTTGTACAGTGCATGTCACAGTAACACATCCAAAATAATTGGTCTTGTTAAAATCGACATGTTAAATTTTCATGTAACTTTTGAAAAAAAACGACATAAATTGATTATTCTAGTTAAAAGCAATCAAGCTACGTTGGAATTTTTTAAATAAGTTCAACTTATAATTCTGGCCAATTTTGTTTAATGCCAGCCCAAATTATGAAGTAAAATATTAATTCATTCGCGAAAATTAAATCACAAAATATCTCTTTTCCTAATAAATATTAAAAATGAGAAAGAACCCAGCACTTAAACAATATTGATATTGTTAAAATTTCTGTGAAGACAAACAAAAAAAACTAAAAGATAATGAAATTGAGTGAGAGATTATTTAATTGAAAACATAGATAACAATGATTAATTAAATATTTCTTTTTTAGTGATAATGGATTCTGCTAATTCTGAAGAAATGTATTCATATTTTGTTTATTTCAATCACCGACTAATAATATTATAAAGATATTAATAACAAACTGGTGATCATGTGACATATGCTTAAATTTTTATTGGGTAAATTTGAATTTTTTGAATTTTAAAAAACTTTTTTATGGTAATAATATAACAATATTATTATTATAAACCATTTTATGGGAGGAAATAGCATCTTTGTTCAATTTCATAATCTAAAAAGGGTTAAATTTCTTCTGAACTTAAAACCAAATTTAGATCTTCTTAATCCCATCCACCAGAAGAAATGAAATGAAAGTTTTATTCAAATCAATTGTCCAGGCCAGATGAAGAAAGAAGTCACAAAAATTTTGGGCGAAAAATTTTAATTTTCATCTATTGTTTATTACTACTGTCAACATTATTTTCCACATCACCATCATCACCATCATCATAATCATCACCACCACCATCACCATCATCATCATCATTGTCATTGTCATCATCATCATCATCATAATCATTGTCATTGTCATCATTGTCATCACCACCTACCTCATCAACCACTTCATCATCCTTATTCACTATTGTAGTAGTAATAGGTTTAGTATAATTATAATTCCATCCATCTAAAGGTGGTGTTTCTGTAGGAATTTTCATTTTTCCAGGAAACAATATTTTTGAATTATTAAGCTGAGCTTCTTTAAATAATCATTCATCTACCTTTTCTAATTCAATATTTGCCTCATTTAACATTTGATATTTTCTTGCTAATTCAAGCTCTTTTTGTTCTTTTTGATGTCTACAAAATAATTTCCATGCTCGTTCTATCGTTTCATGTCTTTCCAAATCTTCTTGTGTTAATGATGACAAGTCTGGTTTCTCAGTTTCGTAAAGTATTTGTTTAATTACTTCATACCTTTTATCTGTTATATGGAATTGTTGTGAGCCTGGTATCATACTTCCACCTGCTCCACTACTAGTGGTTTTTGTGTTGCTGCTACTACTTGACTTTTTATCTGTGTCAGTCTTTTTTGAAGATTTTTGTGCTCCATATTTACGATTTTGTGAAGAAATATTTGTTGTTGGTAATGTTTTTATTGTTGGTATTATTATTAATGAACTTTTCTTTTTTTTAAATATTAAAGTTTGAAAATTTCTTTTTATCATTTTTTTTTAAAGATATTCGTGTTGCATTGATAATTTAATTGGCGATCCTTTTAGTAAAGAAATTTTTTTATATATAGAAATGGATATTTTTCCTTTTACTGGAAAATTGTACATACAGCTCTCCAAGTGTGCCCCATTGGGAACATATTACTTACTATCACTCATAAATATGCATTTAGAGAGGGTATACTTGGATAATAATAATACAACTGCGGATTTCCCCAAAAAGGATCTTCAATAAGAATTTTCATCCGATAAACTTTTAAGGATGGTTAATTTCGAGCTAGGGTTTCTATTTGAATAAGGTTTATTCGAATTATTCGTTTTATTTGAGTATTAGAATTGCATTGAAAGTTTATTCGAATAAAACTAATAATTCGAAGATTGACTTTATTACGAATAACTCGAATAAGAATTAGTATTACGAATAAAAACCCTATTTAGAACATAGAAAGCATACGTTGCTTCATCTAGTTGTAACGAATCTTTCATTAGGAATTATTATTATCAAAAGAAGAACAACTCCAAACCTCAAGAATCGCTGTAGTAAGATCAAGGGCCATTCTCACATCATTGTGTAAAAGCTTGATGGTGACAATTTGTCAGATGTTCGCATTCTTTAAAGGACTAGATCAACCGGCTGGAAAAAATAATATCAACTAAAATACCAAAGGTTGCCACCCAACGATTATAAAATTTACATTAGCCTGTCATAATGCCAGCTGCATAATGTGTTGTTCCTCAAGATGATTAAAATAAAATGTGAAACTTGCATGCGTTTATCAGATTAAATAATTCGTTTATTGCATAATTATCAAAATAATACTCTAAAATAAAACCTCCTGTTATTTTTATATTATTTTCAATACTTTCATGATCCAGTAAAAACAATACAAATAAGTAAAACGTCCAATAATAAATCATTGAAACCATTTTGATGATGTCTCCTAAATGAAAACAGAAAAAGTCAATTATTTACCCATGTCCTATGAACACCAATAACTTTAGTTATTTGTAATTGAGCACATTAATTGTGTGAAAGAATAATCCTGGGTATCCTAACCAGGATTAAGGTCAAATTGCATTGTGCAAAAGTGGATCGATCATCTTAACCGATTTGACATTGCAATTAAAATTTAATTAAATCAAATCTGTTTAGAAGCTGATGTTATTGGAATCTTATTGTTAAGGAAATCGTATTTCGCTTAAAAAGATATCGTCATTCTCCAGATTTAAACTTCTTATGTTAATAGATCATATGGTTAAAAGTCATTTTTTAATTATTGTGAGTAACAACAGTGAACCTATGAATTACAGAGCTCAGACAAAAATCATCAGCTATGTGAGCATTTTTAAATTTGCTGATGATATGCGAGCTTTTCAGTAGAAACGAGTGAAGCTCTGAAAGTGATATTTTGAAAAAAAGAACTGCATTTTTCTACACCCATGTGGCAAAGTATAAATATTGTAGATTCTTGTATTGAACTTTATTCCCACCAAAATCCTTCTAATATACATTTTTTGTAATTAACAGTTTCAATAAAGCAAGTAATTCCTATTTATTTTCATAAAATAAAATTCAATCCGTCCTGTCTGTTCGTAGTAGTAGGTAAATCAGTTATGATTTTAATGCCATATCGAACCAATCAATATATAATGGCTATTTTTTCAATTTAAATGTTGCTAATTGATAGTTTGACTTAAACGCAAGGTAATTTTTCAAAACACAAGGAGAAAGATAAAAGTCCATTTGAGAACGAATAGTCAGGATAAGCATTTCAGACACTCGACATATCATTCTGTCTTACATGTTAGACACTGAAGCTTACAAAACAAAATGTATATTATTTTCTGAACTCCCACAGCTCTGGTAAAATGCTCCCAATCATGTATCCAGCACTGTGTGTATTGCAGTTTAGCCAACAATATGTCAAATTTTTCTTTGATTATTATTAAAAAACATTATGGCATATCTCTTTTCATTTGAATATAATTGGTTTTTGCGTAATAAAGTTTCTACCACAAACAAATAGGTGAATTGCAATGAATTCCAACGAATAAGTGACGGGTAACATTAGGTAATCAACCGATTTTATTGGTGAGTTATGAAGACAACTATCTTTGCAAAGGCATATTTGCTTATTTGGTCTCTCTGAACTGTTTTTATCTCTGCATTTGTGGATTCATAGTAAATTATTAAAAAGCGCAAAATCCTTCCATGGTAATCTGTGTAAAGATAAAGAAGATTTTGATTCATGATGTATCAATCAATGGATTGTCAAACGCTTTTTTTTAAAAATTTTGAGTTTAATTAATTATTCACAATTAGATTAATTTAAAATTAAATCAACCCCAATACCAATTGACTATTTATTGTAATTGTAATTTGGTATTTGACCAACATAATCAATAATAATAAGAATATCTTATTACAAACTGGTTTACTATATAAATTATTATATAGATTTCACATGTATTATTAACACATAATTATCTTTTGTAAAACTATTGATAATTCAAGTTTAACCGATTGTAACAAAACATCGAGTTTAAAATCTATTCTACTTTCAAATATTGAAGCCGTGGATATTAATATGGCAATATATTTTGAGCCGTTTCTGTTGAATTAATGGAAGGAACTGGTATTAGTATTAGTGGTTATTCATTTGATAGAGGAAACTGGTTAAATTGGTAGATCAAACTCATATTTTTAGATGAATCTATTGGAATCATAGAAAGGTGGCGATAAATTATTGAAAACATCATAGTCTTCAGAAAAAATTAATATTTCTGATGATCTAATGAAGGACCTATTTAGAATATTAAAACATATCAATGGATATTAATGGATTCGAAAATAAGTTGATATTTGTTATGTGCTCTTTAAGAGTAGTTTGTACTATCTAAATGACACTGTTGGTATTATATATATATATATATAATTTATTTTATCAATACATAATATAATAATATACATGTGTATGTGTGTTAGTTAATATTAATATACAGAATTAAAAATTTTCTATTTAATCTATCAATACCGTTCACCATCTTTTGTGATTTTCTTTTACACAAAATTACCATTATTAATTAATTACCAAATGCCCCTGTAGTAATACAATAATACATTATTGCCTATGATAATACCCTGCATTTTATATTATTTACTAAAGCAACTTCTAGATGACATAATAGTCTCTACCCATCTCAAATCTTCATATCCATCAGTCATTTTATAATCAGCTTCCTTGTAACTTAATCCATCTTCTTTCATGATCAATCTAATGATAGTTTCAGGTATTAACACATCATTTACAAATCGAAGTTGCAAATTAGATGAATAATTAAAAAATGGGCATTTCAATTTATCATATAATAATGAGGATGATGACGAGGATAAGGATGGTGATGGTGATAATGGTAATGGTGGTGGTGGTGATGGTGAGGAAGAGGCAGCAGCAGCAGCAGCAGCAGTTGGTTGGGCCAATGATGGTGATGACGTTTCTGATTGTTGGCGTGAATGCTTGTTTGGGGTAACATCATGTAATAATGAAGGTAAGTGTTTGCGCTTACGTGGAGTGGAAACAGAGGTTGTGAGCTGTTGAGACGGTGATGATTCTGGTTGTGGGTTTAAAATTTTGCGTGAGGTAACATCGGTTAAGTTGTTGTGTTTATGTGGAGTTGAGACAGGAGTTGAGAGTTGTTGTGATGAAAGTGATAGTTCTTGTTGATTATTTTGCTGTTGATTATCTTGTTCTTCTTCTTCTTCTTGATATTGTTTATTTTCCAATTTCATAATAGACATGATCAATTCCGAAGGTTTAACGATATTATCTTTCTTATCGATAGCTTTTGCAACATCAGGCACATACATATGTCTTAAAACTTTTGCTATCAAACCAAATTCACTTTGGTTGAATGGTCCTTGTGAAACACGAGAAGCTAATAACTGACGCTTTTTCTTTCCCTTAACAAAATAATCATATCTCCACGCCAATTTATCATTGCCTAATAGAACATCGGACAATGTTGGTTCGAGATCTAGAATTGTAGCAATTAATTCCGGATCTTCATAATCAGGGTCTTCTTTTTCCATTACAATTTCACCCAACTTTTTAATAAAGATAAAAATATATATAAATATATATTAACATGAAAATATAAAAATCTTCAATTATAAAATTACATTGCAAGTCACAAATCCTTTTTCATAAATTGTATAAAATTTATTTCTACCAAGTGTTGTCTTGGATCCATCACAAAAGAGGACATGGTACTTTCCAGGCTATTTAATATAACAATTAATATTATAGAATTTTAAATTATTCAAATAAACGCCATCAACAATTAAATAAATAAATAAAATAATAATAAGTAATTACTAATAAATAAAATAATGTCTTACCTTCTGATAACCAATGATTTTTGCTGGATAGTATTTTCTTAAAGAGTAGGCTAACACTAATTCACCTGGAATGCTTAATGTCTCATCTTTCAAAACATCATAATCTGGTAATTCATGTTCGGATTGTTCCTGTTCTTGTTGTTGGTCTAGTAGTTCAACAATGTCATTCTTTTTTTCACATTCCTTTTTTGGAGGAATAGCTCTATTCAATAATTCTTCCACGCTTGGAAATTCTTCATCATCATCAAGACTAGCTAATTCATCAAGAGATGATTTATTAACATCCTTATCATTAGTAGTAACATATTGTTGTTGTTCTGGTGGTTTAACTTTGATATTTTTTTTTTCAAGCTTTTTCCTTTCTTTTTTTGACATATTCCATAATTCTCCCACGCTCGGAACTTCTTCTTCGACAAAACTGAGGGACGGGCTATTATTATTGTTCTGATTATTATCTTTAGAAGTTGGAATAATTTTTAATTGTTCTTTTCTTGATAACCGTTGTTGTTTTTGTTGTTTGTTATTTTTAATTTTGTTTTGTGGTTTTATTGGTGTTGGTGTTGGTGGTGAATCCATTATCCTTGTGAAAATTATGTGCTTAAATTTTCTTTGAATAATAATAATAATCAAAAAACAAATTTACTTTTATTATTCAGTGCCATAGTATAACTTATTAAAATTTATTTTATATTTATTTATCTAGTTATTATTATTATAAATTATTATAATCTTGTTGAATGGAAAAAAAGTTTGGATTCTTGTGGCACATCTAGCCAGTGTGTATTTCATTGGAAGGTTTGGAAGTTGGTCTTCCAAATGCGCTCTCAATAACTAATACATTCCAGCCAATAAGGAGGATCATAATTTTTTTATTTATTTTTTTTCTACACTTGGTGTTGCACAAAGATTTGTTTTTTTTTGTTGACGTGATTTTTTTTTAGGAGGGAGGGACAGACGCGAATTGGGGTTTTTTTTGACAGAGTCCAAGATGACAAAACGCGAATCTCCTAAAGAAGACATGTTAATAACTAACTAGAGGTACTATTTTTTATTTGTATTGATATATATATTTAGTTTATAAATATTTTAATTCGTGATCCATGATAGAAGTGCATACTGCGCCACGTTTTCTGAAATCCAGGGTTGCTAAGTAGCAAAGTCAAAAACTTGTAAAGAAAACAATAATAAAAAATATGTCAAAATAATGGTTGAGATTTTTTGCATCATATTATTTAATATTCTGTGTAATATTTATCATGTGTGCTGGTAGAAAAAATTCGGAAGTTGGTCAATTGTAACCATTTGATAGTGATGATCCCCCATAATTTACTAATTAATTTTCAGAATTTTATCTACTTCTATCACGTATCACGAATTAATTGAAATCAAAATGCGGAGCAGATCTTGCTGGGTATAAGAATCTCATCAAAATGATTGGTATTTTGCTTTTTATAATCACTATTAATAATATTATTATAATATTACAATCACAAGATGTGAAGGCAGCACAACTGACTGTTACAGAAGAGACATTTCAAATATGCAATGTATGATTATTGGAAATTTTATAGATGTTGAAGCATGCATGCTATTTTTACAGTCATTCTCACATATTCCTCGTGTACATAAGGCTAATCTGACCAAGATTTCCATGATGATATGATGATGGTAAATTTCAGGGGGGGCGCATGGCCCTGGAGTTATCAAGACTGCATCAATTGTCAATGATGTTTCCACTAATCTTCCCAGACCAGAGAAGGCTGCTGACACACTAGCTGAAAAGTTGCCTGCAATGATCCTACTCTAGGGTAAGGCTGGCATTGTGTCCAAGTTGCAACTCTGGAGGAATATTAAGAGAAATCGCAGCTTGTTCAAGCATGGGAGGTCACAATTCAGAGCAGGGTTGGTGGCCCTGAAATTGCATTTGGACTCTGATGTTAAGAGGAACAATTTATAATTTTGGATATGTATAGATTAAAATTATTGCATGATTATATACATCTTTGTCAGCAATATGGCCAACA